ACAAACACTGGTTTGTAATATGTATGCGGTGACAAGATAAGGAATTTTAGTTGTGTTGCTAATCTTAACATATTCCATTTGAAATTAAAGGAAAGCAATTTCCATTTAAAAATCAAAATGATACAAAAATATACATAGTTGATATTTTTCAATCATTTGACAATATCACTAACTGAATTTATAGCTTCTTAATGTGAAACAGTAACACAATAATTTCAATGCTTAGTAATTTCAATTCATAACTACTTAATACTCTTAAAATATTTTTCACTAATTTTGTTAGTTTTCTTAATTTTATATTTACTTTTTGAAAAGAATAGTGAAAAAATTAATTGTTAGCTAATATAGAGAATTTTTCCTAACTTATTTGCTTATGTTTTTGATATTTTACATATATTGAAAAATAAATTATTTTAAATTTTAGCACAAATTCAATTATATAAATATATGTAAAATATAAATTATTTTAAATTTTAGCACAAATTCAATTATATAAAAGTTTAACAAGATGCATGAAAAAGATAGAAAAAGAGTTAAATGCACTGACCTTGATTTTAAAATAAATTTATTTCAAGCTTTTTATATTAGATTCATATTTTATTGTAAGTATTTTTATTTATAATATAATTTTTTTATTTCCCCCCATTTTTACAAAATCCTGGATCCGCCATTGAATTTACTACCCAAGCTATGTTAGATTAGATCTGGTCCAATATATTTAGTGATATGAAACATGTTTAGACCTTAAAAAAAAACTTATTCAAAAAATATATTGTAGACCTACTTCTTTAAGGCCTTATTTACAAACTTATAGACCGACTTATATCATATTATTTATTTTAATTAAAATAATTATTTAAAACATTTTCATTAATAAAATATTATTTTATGTATTTTTTCTAATTCTTGATAGGCTTAAACAGACTATTAAGTCCATACCTTTTATTTTTTGAATATAGACTAGATCATATATATAATTTAGCCTACTACTAATTGATAAGGCTAAGTTCAAAATATTTTACATAGATTTAAGTCAAACTTATTTAGACCAAAGCTTAACCTGATCGAACCTATTTACACATTTTCTTTTGGTTTGTAAATTGTTTCTCTGCTAATAATTTTACTGATCCGATTAACCTTTCATTTATGACAACCATATATTTGAAATTTTGAATTAGAAAACACAAATTTTTATAAATTGAATAAAGGAAAAACTTTAATAATATCCCATATCCCGAAGTTAGTTTTAAAATAAAAAAATGTTCATAAGTTTTTTTAATTAGTAATGTTTCCTATTGTATAAAATGCTCATACTCTGTGTTAGTACAAATTTTGTTTTCCTCGTCGATTCTCAATTTATTTTTTTTTAGCTCCACCGTTACATGCAAGTGTAAAAATTGCAGAAATACGTATGTAATCATAGAAAATAAAAAATGATAAGTTGAAGTCAGCGGAACCCCAAACAGCCGACAATATTGATTTATTTACTTTGAAAATGTCGCTGTTTGCTCAGATTTTCATGAATTTTTTTTTTATTAAGCGGAAGTACCGAATCCAAAATCAGGAAATTTTTATACCATTTGAATCAATGACTTTTTGTATATTTCCAATTAAGTCCTGGTTGTTTACTATTTTAGGAAGTGATATTGGTTCAGGGAAAACCGGAATACCGAAAAAGTGCTTGATTTTCAGAGCCTCGCAACAAATATGAAAACGTATTTTAATAAAATAAATAATTAAAAATTAATTGGTTTTTTTATTTAATTTAAAATGCATTTTCATTTCTACTTATTATATTTTAAAAATAGATATATCTTTTCTCATTTATTTTTAAAAAAATTATGATAACAATTAAACATCGTTCAAAGACCGTCGAGGACCCAGTATAGAAATTTATTACACAAGTCACGTCCACTTCAATGGTATTAAAGGCAACGATGACATCCAAAATAAATAAATAAATACAGGCAACGACTTTGTGTATCAAAGAAGAAAAATAATGGGAGCTATGACTTTGACCGAACATGCCATATGCGAGTACTGTCGCTGTAGCAAGCTTGTTCTTCATCAATTTGAGATAAGTAAAAATTATACTCCCTCCAAACTTTCTTCTATTAAAAATGTAAGTTGTTATCGGCTAATAGATTATATGGTTTAAATGACACTAATCATGAATTTTGTTGTTATTCGAATTTTATTTTATGTCTGTTTGTTTTTAAGCCTATAAAATTAAAATTAAGCATATTATATATATCTATCCACGTTAATCATCCATCTCATTATCGGTCGAATATACAATATATATAGTTTATTGATTGTATACATGTCAGAGTTTTTGTGAGTTTGAGCATTTATTGATTGATACATCGTGTTTTACAAAATCGGTTGTAGCGAGAATTTGATATTTTTTTCTGGAAGTCCATATAATTATGTCATTTACTAAATTTATATATGTTTATTGGGTTTAAGTCTAGTAAGTCTACTGAATTATGATGTAGGTTAGATAATTTAAGGTCTATGATGAGTAGAAATCAAAATTAATGATAGCCCATGATTCTTTCTTTACTCTTGATATTTTGATTGCGTATCCTAACTCTTACCGGTTGTTTGGTATGCGATATTTTTTGGAATTTTCAGAAAATTAAATTTTTTAAAATTTTTAATTTTCAGATATTATCGTAAACTGAATATAAAAATTATATTTTTGAAAATCAAAATTTTCGGATAAAAAAAAATTTCTTCTACCAAACGCCCCCTTAAAATTTTAGTTACGAAAGAGTATAAGGAGAACATTTAGTCTTGAAGTGCTGACATATGCATAACATGGAATTTGGAATTCCTGTGTATGATTTTAAATATGTCATACGTAATTTATATTAATTTTGTAATATCTAATTAATTCTAAAAAATTAGTGAGGATTGGGTATGCAGTCATGCACACGAATTCAGCAAGCCTTTTTGACCAAGTTTAAGCATTATATTTCAGAGTAGATGATTATATGATGATGATTGAAACATGAAACGATGACCAAGTTCCAGTAACCGTTACATGTGATGGATGTATAAATATTCAAACCATAGATCAATAAATATTCAAATCATGGATCAGGTTTGAATTTTGAGTAACTGGTATAACATTGTTGACAAATGAATTGACATCAGCGGTATTAAGTATAGAAACACGAGGGGGGCGAAAATACATAGTGACTGGAAACGTAGATTCGAGAAATTAATACATTGTTTGATACAATTTTTTATCAACTATCTCTCTAATTTTAATAAGTCTTATAATATTCATTATTCATTATTAATTTAACTTATATCTAATGGTTCATATAATTAATGAATTAAAGCTGTTAAATATAGGTGGATCGGTCGCTAATAATGGTGCAAAACTTACACTAATTTAAGTTAATTCTTCTTTAATTTTTTAATCATAATTCAGGCCTAAATGTAATTCGGGTAAAAGCAAGAATTTGTTGTGTTTGTAATAGATATTCTCTCCAAATAATATTTATTTTGTTAAAGTTACTTTTTACATGAAGACATTTAAAAATAAATAACTTCATCATAATTAAACATATTTTTTCATTTAAAAATAAATAACTTCATCTTAATTAAACATATTTTTAAATATAATTTTTTTGTATAATATTTTTAACTATAATTAATTTTATAAAATTTAATCACAAATGCTCTTCTAAATACACCGCAAAATGTAAACTAAACCCGTGCAAATCAACTTTGCTATGCAGAGGAGTTTTGATACATGACAAAATTCAGATAAACGATATAACACAGTAAATATGGAACAAGAAAATTGTATTAGCTTTGAGTGAAAATTTTGGACAAGAAATTACAAATTCACATTTCAGGGTTGGTTAGTTGTCCATTTTTTCTTGCATTACAACCTTTTACTTAAGGAATCTCCCGCTAAGAGAAACAAACGAAAAAAACAAAAAACAAAAAAGCATATCTCATTAAAAAGTATCAAACCTCTATAATATAAATAAATGTTTTAAATAATGGTTCATTTTTTCAAAAATTATTTTAGATAATTTTATATAATATTCACTGAAAAGATGTTGTTTTGAAACGAAAATTATGATGTATTTATAATTTTGATTTATTTCAGGGATAATAATCTTTATTATTCTAATTTTTTTAATTTTTCAACCCAAAATGATATCAGTTCGATGAACATTAAATAAAATTATCTAAAATAACATTAAATAATTTTTTCTCTTTACCTAAATGATGTAAACTCAACTTAGGAGCTGGATGTTATTTGAAAATGAATTCTCTCGTATTACAATCTCAAATGATCTTATCATATACAAGTTTGTGTCTATTTTTATCTTTCTACATTTACGAATTTCAATAAAAATATATTTACTTAATGTGTATAAAGAGAGAAATCATAAATTTTTTACATAATTAATATTAGGGATAGGATATTGTGACACCCAAGTTATGTTACACCCATGTGACACCCAGTCAATCTCACCGTTAGATCGCTTATGTTGATCCAACGGTTATATTTATTTCCATCTTTGTATGGTCATGATTTCCCAAATTTAAAGTGAAAGCATTAAATATGGAAAATCATAACCATACAAAGGTAGAAATAATATAAAATATTAAATTTGAGAAATCATGACCATACAAAGACGAAAATAAATATAACCGTTGGATCAACATAAGCGATCTAACGGTGAGATTGACTGGGTGTCACATGAGTGTAACATAACTTGGGTGTCACAATATCTTATCCCTTAATATTATTTGAAATTTTAAAAATTCATTTCATTTTTAATACGGGATTCTAATTTTAACATGAAAGATCATTCCCCCTTTTGTTTCGGTCACTTTGCCTTTGAGAGAGAGCATTTTTTTTTAATAGATATTTGTTGTAGGAATACCGATCGTAATAGGAATACACAGAGACAATAGTTCAATTTAAATAAATAAAATTATCTTCATTTTCAAGAAACACACTGATCATCATCCCCTAAACATGATAAAATAAAGAAATAAATAAAATTTGTAATTTCACACAACCATAAGCTGTGACAGCGTTAATGGAGTTAACGGTGACAAGGGCGGCAAAGGGAAAATTCCCTTTACATCAGTGTCCCAAAACCCTATCCAACTAGACGGCGTTAACGGAGTATTCCTTATATGGCTAATGTCCGATTCCGCTGTCTTTTTCCTCTTCACGACTTCCGCCTCCTCCTCTTCCCGGCGGCGTTTTCGTTCATCTGCGCCGGCTTCGAGGGGGAAGTTGAGGATGGCTTTAGAGCCTCGAAGCTTAAACGCGGCTCTGTCGTAGGCTTTGGCGGCTTCGATAGCCGTTTCGAATGTTCCTAGCCACACCCTGGATCCGCGCTTGTTCGGGTCTCGGATCTCCGCAGCGTACTTGCCCCACGGTCTCTGTCGGACCCCTCTGTAGTGCTTCTTCTCTTCAGGTTCAGTCACCACTTCTTCCGCAACCTTCGAATCTCCGAATTGGATCCACTCGGTCTTCTTCGGGACAGAGATTTGCAACGATGGCTTCCGATTCGATTGAGGTTTCTTCTCTAGGGATTCCGATGTTGCCGCCCGTGTGTTTGAAAAACTGATGGCTAACTGTGATGTTTGACTTTGGGCTTTTGGGCTTTCGATTATTTGGGGTTTGGACTCAAATTCGAATTGGGGATAATGATTATCTGTTGAAACCATAGAATCGGTTGGGAAATCAAGGAGTTCAGTTAAGTAATTGTCCACTGTGGCATATGAATCAGAACTAGAAGCTTGGGAATAAAGGGAGTCAGATTGAGATGAAGTTGGGTTTGGCTCATCAAATCTAAACCAGAGATTGATTTGGGTAATATCAACGGTGGAAATGCTACTGCTGAGTGGCAGGGGAGAGAGTTCGCCTAGAAGATGCAATTTTATGCGATTGAGTGCAGAAACTTCAACAGGGTTTGCCATTACTATCTTATCTGTGTATCGGTTCTTTCTTAAAATCAGAAGAAGAAGAAGAAGAAGAAGAAGTGTTTGAAATGTTGAGAAGATGGATAGATGTGAGCGTTAGTTGAGTGGATAAGAGAGTGGAAAAGGAATATATATAATAGATAAGAGAGGTGCGTGCTATGATTGAAAGCAGGAAGCATCCTCTTTCCTTCTCAATTATTCTTGTTTCATGGAAAATCATATCCTGCGGTCCTCACCACCTAAGTAACGTTGTCCACGTCAATGACTTCTCCTATGACTTTTGAGGTAATTACCTATTCTTCGCTGCTTTTTCCCTTCAGTTGTCCTTGTTAAATGGTGCTCCTTATAATAAAAACTCAATTAAGAAATTGGGTTTAGTATTTATTCTTGAGATAGGATATAATATAACGTTACTTCTTCTAAATATAATATCGTTATTGAAAATATTTTTTCTCATGTTATATGATAATTTATCACATATAACATATAAAAAAATAGATAAAATTCATTAACGAAAAGACAAAAAAAATAAATAGATTTCGCCCATTTTTTATGTGATGTATAAGACAACATGCCATAAACAATATTATCATGATTATATGTCTCGAAGATAAAGATAATGTTAACCGATAATTAGATTCAGATTTTTTTTGGCTTTTGAAGAAATCCTGGATTGGCCTGGAGGTTTTGCTAGTTTTAAGAAAACGAAACTTTAACGTGCAAGCAAAGAATTGAATTTCAATGACACTATAGTTTATTTATATAAATTTTTTTTAAATAAAGTTATCTCTAATAACACTAAAATTACGTCACTCTGAGGATTGAAAAAATTAATAAAAGATTTTTAAAAATTTTTTTAGATTTTTTAGAAAAAAAATAGTTGTTATTTTAAATGACATAAAGTTATGTCATTTTAAGAAAGAAATAGACACAAAATAATTTTTTTATTTAAAATTTGAATTAAAAAAAACAACCCACTTTCTCTATTATGATTTTCAGTTCTCGTGTCTATCTCTCTTCTAATCAAACCCGATTTTTTATTATATAAATGGGGTAAGATATTATAACAACTATTTAGGGTTATTACCAATCAATTTCATCGTTAAATCGATTATGTTGATCGAACGATTATATTTATCTCCATCATTGTATGGTTATAATTCTCCATATTTAATGTGAAAACATTAATTTCACATTAAATATGAGAAATCATAATCATATAAAGATGAAAATAAATATAAAATACTAAATATAAAGAATTATAACCATACAAAGATGAAAATAAATATAATCATTGGATCAATTTAATCGATTTAATGGTGAAATTGATTGATAGTAATACTAATTCATTATTACAATATCCTTTCCTTATATAAATTTTATCAAAATATCCTTTATTAATTCTTCAATACTCAAAATGATGTATTTCAAAATTATTGGAAATAAATTTATCTCAGCAAAAACGATTAACTCTATATATTTATCATAAAATATTCGTTTCTTTAAATTTTCGAAAACGTAAAAGATAATCATGTTATGATAAGGCTTTGAGCTATATAGAAACATAGGGTTTTATTTTTTTTATGTCACATAAAATAATTTTTTTTTCTACTCTCACAACAAATGGTGAAATTTACTTTATTTAAAAAAAAACAGAGCACATCAGAGATAAAAAATTTCTTATATGACATAAGAGAAATAAAATTCATAAACGTATTAGAGATCAATGATTAGGTGCTGATAAAAGAGGAAAATTGGAAAACTATTTCTAGAATGTCAACCCTGTTGCTTTCTTTTTTTTTTCGTGCTATGTTGGCCTCTCTTAACTTTTCTAGTTTGGCTTTACCGTGTATTACGAAATAGAAAGAAATATTGTTTTTCAAAAAAAGGAAAATATATACGAAAATGCTGTAGACCATGCCATATTAACATAAACTTAAAACATTACTGTCTCTGTTTCACAATATCTGCTATTTTTAAAAAAATTATTTTGAATTTTTTTTCATTTTATATTAATAATGAAGTATTTATCATTATTATTTTTATTTTTATCCTTATTTATTCTTATCTTTAATGTTTGATTGACATCTTTTTTATAAAAAATCCTTGTAACTAATTTAATTACTTTATTTTTTTTATAGTTGTTTTATGTCAAATCTCACCTTACTTTTTGATTTATCAAAATTTTTCAATGCTTATTTTAAATTGACTTTTAATTAAAGTAATTTAGTTAAATACAATAAGTTTTGACTATATTTGTAGTTAATTAATTACTTCCCTGTTTTGTGTGTAATAATAACCTTAAATGTTAAATATTTTGAAACGAAAAGGATTCTAGAAAAGAAGAGTTTGAATTTTGTTTTTAAAAATGATTTTTAAATTTTAGGAATAAAAATAAAATCTGTTTGACAAGTCTTGTTTTATAAAAATAATTCTAAAAATTATAACTGTTTTTTTATCTTTTAAAATTAAATTTATAAATACATCTAAATTATTTTTATTTTATATTTTGACATTTAACTTTCAAAATAAAAAATTCAAAAAATATCTGTTTCATTAATTATTTTACAAATCAATTTCAAGAAAAAAAAATAGAAGACAATCACACAGTTATTAAGTGTCAGTGCTTAGGTCATGTTCTGAAAATTTGACGGCGTTAGCTAGTTATACCAGAACCGGTCACTTGCTCGATCTGATCTCGGCTTAATGTGGTAAAGAAGCGGTGGAACCGGTCCACACTGATTCAATGTTTTTGTTTTGTTAAAGGATTATATTTATCTCATTTTATATGAGAGAAATAAATTTTTTACACACATAAAAGATGGGTAGATGTTATTTCTTTTTTGTCTCTCTACTCATATTTGTGGGTCTCACTTATAATTTTGTTTCTACAATATAAGATAACCATTTTTCTCAATGTTATTGAAATCGGCCCGGTCAATGACCCGATCGAGGTACTGGGTCACTGATTCAACCAGTGGGTCACGGGTTGAACCATATGACCCGCTAATTATATATAAATCTATAATTTATATTAAAAATATTATAAATATACTCAAATAGCTGAAAAAATAATATAAATTCTAAATATTTTAATATAAAAAATAATAAATTACACATTATGGTCCAATAAAGGATCAAACAAACACATAATGCTTGTTATATTGGTGTTTCAGGTTTGGTAAACGACATCTCTAACTATCAAATCAAAATTTTCCGCCTAGTGCATAACTGAGATAATATTAAGATTATAAGTACATAACTTATGTAAGTCAATAAGTAACAGATCACTTAAATATGTCAGTTATGATTTTTTTTTTAAATATTTTTTTTAAAAAAACCAGGGTCGGGTCACCAGTTTTTCACCAAAATCGGCCGGGTCGCATCAGGTCGTACCGAGTTTGATAATTGACCGATTCAATGTGATAACCAGACTGATCAGATGACCGATTCACTGAGTTCTGGGTCGACCCGATCGATCAGGTCTGGTTTTCACAACATTGATTTTCCTACAACATAAAAAAATATTTCCGTTTGTTAAATTATGGACAATTGCAAAAACACCCTCTTTTTGAGCCCCGAATTTTCTTTTTAACGACAAAACTAGAGGCCTACGCACATGTACGAGCCAATGGAACTAGTAGAGCGAGATTTTCGGCCTTTTACAAATACTTTATGCTTGGAAGCATTATTTCTCTTCAATATAAGACTTGTTACAAATGAATCATTAAATCTTGAAGTAGTCTTTTGACCGGTTCAATAACAGGTTGGATTTTCAAGACCTTGGATACACAGAACAAAACATTATTTCCAAAAGGAAAAGAAAACTTGCTAAAATAAACTCATCATAAATTTTCGTGCAAGTCACTATGTAATACTTTAGTCCCATTATACTCTTCAGGAAGAGTTCACCTTGAAGTCCACAAGAAATTTGTCAGGACAAATTGTAGGAGCAAATGCATCTCCGGAAGCGTTTAAGACCATTCTGATTTGGATGTATAGGATTATCATGGTTTTATAATTACCTCTTGCTGGCGCAGATCTCTGATGATGCTCCACACTCCTTGTTCCTTTGCGTGACAGTGTGAACTTACGAACTCACGAGCTGCTGTATCACAGTACGAACAGGTGTTCTGGAAAACCTTCCAAACTATCTCTCGAAGAGGAAGGGGAAGCGTGTGAACACTAATCAGATTTGAGTTTGCCTCTTTTTTTCCAATGACCTCTAAGGCTGATGACTTAAGTGGTAGTATTTATATGGGTTCTAATAAACCCTAGCTCTAAGCCCATTGGACTTCTAGGTTTCTTGAGCTCTTCTCATACTAATAGCCTAATTGGACTTTAGTAAAAGAGCACAAACTCAACAGGAATACGTGTAATAATCACTGATCTTTCAAAATTATAAATCCTAAATGGAGGTCGATAGCCCAAACACTACACAAGCTCCTCTCTTAGCCTGCACCCGTTGTATCACTCACACCCATGACCATGGCTTTTGGGTAAAATTGATATCGTTTTACAATTGTCTACTCCATTTGTCTACTTCATTTGGATTCATTAGAAACCATTCCCTTTGCTGGCATTACTATCATCTCTTACAACCTTTAAAAGAGTATCCCACATCACATATTCACTATTGGTAGTAGATAGTTATCATCTTTAGTGAACATATAAGTAGAGTTAATCCTTTCTCCCCTTTTAAATAAGGTTTTATTTTGATCCAACTTAATTCAATTGTTACAATGTTATCATTATAGTTCTAAAATCAATACAAATTAAGATCCCTTGTCAACTTGATGTTAATATGGTATTATATTTGCTTATACGAAAATATCGTAGCATGGGATTGTATCATCAAGAAAAAGTATCAAATCAATCTTAATCAAATTTAAGAAGAATTATATAACAATTTCAATTAAAATTAAAAAACCTTAACCAAATTCTAGTGTAAGTAAACACACACACACACACAGTTAAATAAATGAAGAAGAAGTTCAGTTTATAAGGAAAAGTCGAGAAAGATAATGAATCACACAAATTATGCTTCATCATATCAAGGAGAGAAACAATTTATTTTGGCTTCCTTTGACCCAGCGAAACTGAGCTCCAAT